ATATAACTAATTATGCGGTAATTGAGAAAAACAATACCTTAATTAAAGAATTAAGGTCATTTACTTTAATTAGAATACATTATCAAATAAGGCTTCTTCTTCTTGACAAAACACTGAATACTTCTTCTTCTTGACGAAACACAGAGTACTCATTGTGTTCATTATATCAAAACTTTTTCAGAATTAGAACGAAGTCCATTGATATTTTCTTGGATTGTATACAACAATCTATCCATTACGCGTTGTATATTTTTCTGACTACATTCAATTTATATGTATATCATATATTACTTGGTTCATTCGTGTTTAATTTGCGGTGTTGTGTTATTGACTACAAATATCCGTTTGAATTGTATAGTTATTTATAAGTTTAAAATAGTTTTAAGCGCATTAACATTAGATATGAAGTAGTTGATTTGTTTGAAAATCATTTGTATATGTATATAATTGCTATCGAATTCCATATTAAGTTTGTTTGTGTATGTTTATGTGTCTAAGCATATTGTATTATTGTACACTTTGTATATAAGTCGTTGTATATTTTAAGTCAATAAATGTATATAATTGAATAATTTTTTGATTACTTATGTCACTTTGTGCATGTACTCCATATTATATAGATTGTATATAATTCGTTGTATATTTTAAGTCAACAAATATGTACTTATATCCATTTGTATATGTTACGGTTTGAATCTATGTTATATAAATTTTATATAAGTCGTATATTTTAAGTCAACAAATGTGTATAAATGAATAATTTTCCGTTGACTTATATCAGTTTGTATATGTTACTATTTGAATTTCATAATATATAGATTGTATACAATTCGTTGTATATTGGAAGTCAACAAATGTGTATAATTAAATAATTTTCGTTTATTCATATCAGTTTGTTTATGTGACGGTTTGAACTCTATATTATACCGATTGTATACGAAATATACAAAATTACAAATAACAAATCTTCATTATACAAATAGTTGTAGTTGTATAATTATACAATATTGAACTTGTGTAACTATAATCTTGTCAATAGTATAACTAATTATTTATACATATGTTGGTTATTAATTATGTAATATATACAATTAACTAAATTACAACTCATTTATTATGTCATATACAAATTTTAAAAAAAAATGAAAACAAGGCTAAACCTCCAAAAGTTTCTACTTCCTGTTGGACCATGAAACAATGGGAAAATATAAAAAACAAAAAAAACAAAAAATTGATGGAAGTGAAAAAAAATGAATGGAGGTTACCTGAAATTGATTTTGCACGATTAGGAGGGATGATTCAAAAATTTCAAATTTTAAACTTTTTTTTTAATCAGAAGAAAAATAGAAAAATGATTCTACCTTAAGAAAGAAACGGCAACGGGAGGTGGAGAGAAAATTAAAAGAAAAAAACCCTAAATAAAATGTAACAGAAAATAGAGACAGAAAAATAAAAGAAATGAAAGGAAAAAAGAGGAAGAAGTCAAATTTTGAATTTTGATTCAGTTGAGTTATTGTCCCTTCAGGGACATCCCATAAAATTCAGTTGAGTTATTTATAGGGTTGAGAGATTTAAGGAGTAAATTGAGTGGATGTGGTAAAAAGAGATAATGTGTAGATTTGTATAAAATGTGAAAAGGGATTCTAACCTTTTGATAAAAAAAAAGTGGTTAAACAATAACCATTTTTTATAATTAATTTAAATTGTAGTCAAGTAGCATAATTAACTAGTAAATGTTAGCTTAGTTATATAATTTATTTTTTCTAAAATAGCTTTTCAAAAAAGTGCTTTTGAAAAATAATACTCCAATTTATGCTTAGTTAATTCATTTAAAAAATGTTTTTGATAAGCAATTGTATTTGACTATTTTTTTTAAAATAATAATAATTTTGAGAGTCAAATTATGAAAAAGGACAACTATCAATAATATTAAGATTGTTTTAAATATTTATTATAAATTTTTTAATTAAATATTTATTTTTATTAAATTAGAATGTAGATATTTAAATTTTTAATCAATATTATACATAGATAAATAAAAAAAAATTAACTATTAATATATTTTAACTTATTAAATATTTTTTCCTTGAAATAAATGTTTTTGGCCTCTGGTCAAACATGCTCCAGTAGTCAATGGCGACAACACTTTCTTTTAGAGATACATTCTCATTTAATGAATTAAATTTGATCTGAAGCTTTGGTAATTAAAAAAAGGCATATATGTGTGGCGCAGAGTAAATGGAGAGTATGTTTAACTGAAATGAGAGACATTCGGATTTTAAAACAAATTTGTGTTAGATAAATTTCCCATAACTGTAAGAAAACTTTTTAAAAAGTAAATAAATATATAAACGTATGATATGGTTACAACTTGGGAATTCATAATTACAAGTGATTGCAATCTTCATAACTTGTCACAACAATATGCCAGCTACATCACCACAGAAAAATTCGGTACACTTGACATCTCTTTTGTAATAATAATAATAATTAATTTGTAGTGTGTGTGAAATTGTTTATAACATACATACTATATATAATGTTTGGTTGAATTGACAGCGTGATGGAAGAACGGAAGAAGAAAGGAAGATAGATGAATGGCTTCCGATTACTTCTTCTAGGAATGCAAAATGGTGGTATTCAGCATTCCACAATGTTACTGCTATGGTTGGTGCTGGTGTTCTCGGTCTTCCATATGCCATGGCAGAGCTCGGATGGTATATATGTATAGTTTTTTTAATTGTAATGTAAAGTCATGATCTTGTTTCCTGATTTGTTTCTATTTGATGGTAGGGGACCTGGTGTAGCAGTGATGTTTATATCTTGGGTTATAACTTTATACACTCTATGGCAAATGGTTGAGATGCATGAAATGGTTCCAGGGAAACGTTTCGATAGATATCATGAACTTGGGCAGCATGTTTTTGGTAAAAAGCTGGGGCTATATATCGTGGTGCCTCAACAATTGGTTGTTGAAGTTGGCCTTGATATTGTTTATATGGTGACTGGAGGAAAATCATTCCAGAAGATCCACGATTTAGTCTGCACTCCTGGCAATTGCGTAGAAATCAAACTCACCTATTACATCATGATATTTGCCTCTGTACATTTTGTTCTCTCTCATCTTCCCAATTTCAATGCCATATCTGGTGTGTCTTTGATTGCAGCTATCATGTCTTTAAGGTAAATAATTACTTATTACTTGCGCTTATATATTTAGGACAGGACATTGACTTACTTGATGAGTATGCATGTCTTCCAACACAGTTACTGTACAATTGCTTGGGTAGCTTCACTTGAAAAGGGTGTACAACCAGATGTGGATTATGGGTACAAGGCTAAAAACACAGGGGAAGCAATTTTCAACTTTTTCGGTGGATTGGGAGAAGTGGCTTTTGCATACGCCGGTCATAATGTGGTGTTGGAGATTCAAGCTACGATACCTTCAACACCTGACAAGCCTTCTAAAGGACCTATGTGGAAGGGAGTAGTTGTTGCTTACACTGTTGTGGCTTTATGTTACTTCCCAGTTGCACTTATCGGCTATTATACATTTGGGAATTCAGTATCAGACAACATTCTCATCTCATTGAACAAACCTACTTGGCTCATTGTCCTTGCTAATGCCTTTGTTGTTATCCACATCATTGGCAGCTATCAGGTGTGTGATTCTTCTCCATTTCCTTCTTGTCTTTATTTTAATATATATAGAAACTGACGACAAAGCTATTATTGTAGCTCTATGCAATACCGGTGTTTGACATGGTTGAGACTTACCTTGTAAAGAAACGTAGATTCAAGCCAACATGGTACTTGAGATTTGTTACCAGAAACCTTTATGTTGGTAAGTTAGTCGCCTTCATACAATAAAAATTTGAAGTAGAAACCTTACATTTGTAATGCCTTTGTTCTTATTGCAGCCTTCACAATGATAGTTGGAATCATCTTCCCTTTCTTTGGGGGACTTCTTGGATTCTTTGGAGGATTTGCTTTTGCCCCAACAACATATTTTGTAAGTTTCCTATTTTCCCTTACCAAATCTAGCTGAATCCACTTGTCAAATGGAGTCCAAGTCAGTGTGACATTCTTGTATTATTTTTTTTATATATAAATCACCACTGAGCATGGACGAGGAGAAGTTGATTGGCTGCACTAACACTACTCTTTTTTTTTATTCTGGCCTCTTTAGCTCCCTTGCATCATGTGGCTTTCAATCTACAAACCAAAGAAATGGGGTCTCTCTTGGACTACTAACTGGGTATGGTGCAGCTTCTTCTGCAGTTGATATTTTCAATTTTCATTATTTGAGCTTAAAACTGCAACTAATTGGTCAAAATAATGACAGATTTGCATAATACTGGGAGTTCTGTTGACTGTTTTGGCACCAATCGGCGGTTTAAGAACCATCATTATACAAGCCAAGGACTACGAATTTTTCTCTTAGTCATCTTCCCAACTTCCATAGCTTGGGAGAATTCATCTTATATTATTCAAGTCCGTTTCTTCTAGTGTACAATAATGTAAATTAAAAGAATCTGTTTACTTTTCATGAATGTGTTTTCCCTTCTACTTATCTGAGTTTTACTTTTACTTTTACCCACCTTTTACTCTATTTGCTTGTAACTCCTTATAAGATGATGAAAGATCTATCTATCAAAATAACCTCTACTCTCCCACCATTCAACTCTAAAATTTCATGTTTACACTAGTCTTTCAACGTTAAGTCCAAAAGTTAGAGATAACATAGTGAATTAACTAAAGTTGAACCAGATAATTTTCCGATAATTATTTTTAAAAAAATTGCCTTATCTTTCGATCTCATTCACAACTGCATATAGAAAATCTAATTTTATAATTGTCATGAAACAAGATCGTCCGTAATTTCTAAAAAAAACTAACGGTGTATCCTGGGCCTTGGGTACCGTCTCCTAACAAATTGAATCCTCATAATTACACACTACTACTGAATAGATAATAAGATTAAAAATGCGAAGCTGAAAATCAGAAAAGGTGAAACAGCAGAGGACTTCCACACAATTCTTTTTTTTTTCCTTTACTCACATCCAATTGCAAACTGAATTCCAGATCAACACTTTCCATATTTTCTCGATCTGTACCTTTTTTCTTAAAACAAAATCGGCTTTCAAGGTGGAAAAGGGATTCATGTTACTAAATCTATCACATATTTCTGAATACTATGATACAGCAACACAGTGGGGCAGAGGGTAATAGCTTAATCAATTTCACCTTCCTCAACATCAATAGGATCACTTGGGAGAGTAGCCAGTTCACATTCTTCCTCATCATCATCCACCTTCATGTACAACCCAAGTTGCTCCAAGGGATTACTGCCTCCAAATTTGAAGCTACCTAATCCATCCTGGGAATGATCTGGACTGGTCTCGTCTACCGAGCTGTGTAACTGCTCGGAAGGGACAGCAGTCAGCATCTCCAAATCCTCAAGGAACTTTGAATTCTCATTAATCTCTACGGTCTTTTCCATCTGCAAAAACCAAATGGAAGTCCCGTTTGATATTTTAACTGAAGAACTTGACCTTCTACGACATGATATATTTTCTACTCACCTGGAGTAACGCCTGTCTTGCTGCTTCTCTATCGACCTCTCTCCTCCTCTTAGCCTCCGCTGCAGCTTCCACTTCTGCACGTCTTTGAGCTTCTTCAGCAGCTTTAGCTTCTGCTTGCAGCTTAGCTTTCGCTGATCATGGAAATTAACATAATCAGGCTATCAAATCACATAAAAAAAGAATTTTCTTCCATGTTGAATATTGGGAATTCGGGTTGGGGGTACCTTTCCTCCTTTGCATCTCAAGCTCCTCCCTTTCACGACGAAGTTTCTCCGGATCGCCCTTCTCGACCTTTATAGCAAAATTACAGGATGGAATGACACGCTGGTCAAAATAAATGGAAAAGGCAGTAGAATGCCTATAACAAGCAAAGGATACTCACCTCAACAAGTGTCTTCTCTCGAGCTTTTAAAATTGTATCCGCAAATCTGTTCTTCAGGAGAGCAGCCCTATAGAGCTTTCCAGGGGAGACCCTACTCTCCCCTAATGTAAAAATGCAACACATGAACCCACAAATCAATAGAGACAAAAGGAAATAAACCAACTTTTCTTACGTTACCTTTTATCTTTAACAATAAATACAGAAAAAACAGTTCTCAACTCACCATCTTGATATGCTTCTGACTCAACAGAGAATGGCATTTGCTGAGAACTTTGATCCAGCTGGTCCACGCCGCTGATAGAGTCTGGAGATTAAACAAGGAGTGAGATAGCAACATCTATGAAGTCTAGGAAAAGACAACAAAAAAACCTGCCTACAGGATCTCAGACCACCAGACAGCTAAAATATTTAATAACCTAACACTTGATTTAGATCCCCTAATAACCATTCCATGAAACCACTAATCACAACACTTTACAAACCTTATAGGTATTCTGCAGATTTATGCACTTCCTACATTTCAGATAAGTGCTCAGTTTCAAATAAAAGGATAACCATCAACAGAATTCTCTACTATATCAAGAAATCATAATCAGAAAAGAACTCACGATTTCCTTCAGCTAAACTATTGCCAGCTTCCTTTCCATCTGCCTTTACTGGTGAACTGTGATCCTGTGATCAAACACCGGTAAAAAAGATGTATTAGGTTTCCAAATACTCTAAAGCTGGTCTAATGGCAATAAACACCATGAGGGTTCATTTAGAAGCTATTGTGATCTCTCTTCACCTGCTCAGCATGATCAGGTGTTCTTTGAGTTTCAGACTCATCATCAGAAGAGCTACTAGAATCTGAATCTGGATGGAAGGGAGATGCAAGAACAAGTTAAGACAGCATTCAGAATTCTAAGTTCTAACAATGAGTAAAGCAATCCCTACTAAATCAGCAGTTCCAGATTGCTTTATATTCAGAGATAACACTACACTTGTATGGATGGATTTGAAATTTGGAACACCAAGTATTTAAGTTCCTCTAAATTTTATCAAAGAAAATAGAATAAAGAATAAATTCAATTCAAGAAGCACAGTACAAATGATGATGAAATTTTAACGGAAACTGAAAAGAAAAGCTGGGCAAGAGAAGTAAAAAAGAATATAGTAGCACCAACACAAACTTCAAAAATGAAATAGGTGAAGCTTAGATCCAACACACACGAACATATGACTAGAATAACTTCAAACTTAATGTAGAGAAAAATCTATGAACTTCTTGAATGCAGTAAATGCGGGGCCACAAGCATCCCATTTTTTTAGCAATCATGCAACATCAACCAGGGTCGTCAGTTATTTGGCAAACCACTTGACCGGAAATTGACGGGTAATCAAAAGAAAAAGAAAAAGAGAGCAAGTAATAGATGTTCTGAGCAAGTAATGTTGATTATGACAAGCTTGACTTAGTAGATTTCTCCAAATGTATTACCGATGTAGCAACCTAATAAGAACCTCACTATGCAGTGCAGTGAAGAACTAGGAAAGGAGATATAAGATCAACAACAGAAAACCTGAAATAGAATAGTTTAGGTTATTTTAAAAAGAACAATTCAGAATGTAAGAGATTCATCAGACTACAACAATTTAGAATGTTCAAAGATTTCCAGTTAATAAAAATTAAAAGGGAAAAGAGCACATCCCACAAGATGGTAAAAATAGTCCGATGACTTGATGGCTTTAAAATTCATTTTACCAGCCCTAGAAGATAAGACAAGGAAGATATGATATGAACAGGATATGTCACCAGAAAGCGGATCATTGAAAAAGTAGGATGCACTACAAGAATGTCCAACAGAAACAAAGCGAAAAGTATCGATGAGTCAATAACCAATTTGAATTACCATTGGGACCCCCTGTATTTATACGTTCATCTCTTTTGGGATCTGTATCTTTTTCGATCTCAAGTGAAGGATAACTGGAGACAGGAGGCTCATTTCCACCAATATCGACCTCCTCATCAACATGGTTATTATCTGTATATTTTCCAGTATTTAGAAGGAAAATCGTTGAAGTTCGAAATCTAACACCAAACAACAAATAGCGTGCATGAAATCAAAAGAGCGAGTAAGAACCTCCTTCTAGGTGCATGGATGAATTACTAAGCCCCAATCCATTTGGCAGCTGAAAAAACAATAAGAGAGAACAATAATTCATTAACATCAAACACTGGTGGAGTGTCCATTCTACATTGTACGTGAAGATATATTCTTTGACGGTAAACTACCTCTATCTCACAAGGTTCAGCTCTTGCATTGCCTTTTTGCTTCTCTTGCAAAAACTTATCTAGAAGCGCCCGTAACGTGAACAAAGTATCATCAGAGAGAATATCAATGTCAATCTCAATGGCATCTTCTCCATCTTCTCCATTTTCTCCAGTTGCTGTTCCATTTGAACTCAGTTCCTTCAAAAACTCAAGGATGTTGTCGGGTAGATCACCAAGTGAAGCTTCTAGTTCACCACCAAGTTTATGTTTCTCTTCATCAGTCATCTTGGATTTAGGAAGTTCTGGCATAACTACATGCTGCGTTGGAGAAAGTCTCCTCTTCTTTGAAGCAGTTCCATTTTCTTCATGCAAGCCTGATTTTTCTTCCACTAATTCAGCATCGTTTGTAGGCAGCTTTTTCTCAATAGTTTTCCATCTCAGTTCAAAAAATTTGCTCATCTCGTCAGCCATGACATTGACAATATTACCAGGGGGGTTGTAGGTCAATGCATTAGAAAACGTCAGTCTCACATCAGCAAGAAACTCCAGTGGACTCGAGTAAGCACCTGAAGTCAGCCTCTTTTTTATTGTCCCCAAATCCATTGGGTGTTTAATGACAGTGAAATAGTCGGGAATATTCAACTTAACTACGTCAACAGGTTTATTAAATACACCAGCATTATGATGTGACAACAACTTTTTCAACAAGTTCTCACACTGTTTCATCAATGCTGCATTTGAACGGGATGGTACTGAAGTAGGCTTAACAGATTTAAACCTGCCTGACACCTCCCTGCTCAGGCCCCGTGTCTTCTGAGCAAGAGGGTTTGACTTCTTTCCAAACCCAGGGTTTCCTGTAGATTTCTTCTTGCTTGCTAAAGGGAGCCCTTTCTGTGCATTGCTACAGCTAACAATATCACTAGAAGATGAAACTGCAATTACACTTGTCCTATAAAACTCAACTTTCTTCTGAAGAAGTCTAATTTGTTCAATATCAGATCTCAACTGCAGAACCAAGTTTTTCCTCTCAGATGGTGACAGCTTGGATTGCAGTATAACATGGATGGGCACAGCAAAACCATCATGTGAAGAAGAATTTATATTTATCCATCTCTGCTGAGGAGCAATTGAATGTCCTGAAACGGAAATTCCAGCATCGAATCTCCCTGAACTGCCAGAGCCCTCCGATCCACAATTAGTGGCAAAACCAGCAGAACCACCTCCACGCAACTTGTCTTTCCTAGCCATCGACCAGACTGCAGAATAGGTACTACTTGGCCTCAGCAAAAGAAGGGTTTCTCCGACCTATCACAAAAGAAGAGATGTTCTCAGGAAGCCAATCCTGAAACCAGCCATAAAACCTAAAAGTGCTACATTGGCAGGAATTCCTAGATATATATACGAAGAGCTCCACAGGTAGAATGTAGAGATTACAACATTTCGAATAAAGTTCTATTCAGAAATTTTCAGTTTTACAGTTTAGTCCCAGTTAACAAAATTTCCTCTTTCCTCTTATAACCTCATTTATGTGACATCAGTGTACTGTGAGGTAATTACATAACCTCCATCACCTTTAAATCCTTAATCGCACTATGTGTTGTGCATGAATGAAATTAATTGAGCACATTTCTCTTATTATTTTTTCTCTCCCTTCGTTACTTGGTTTGTTCAATTTTGTTCTCTAATTTCATTTGCTTCTCTTGTAATTTATTCGATCTTTGAGCTCTCATTGCAAATTAGCACTGGAGCTTCTAAATATTAACCGGGGTGGAAAACCCAAAATTCAAACAAATCAACAATGAAAGGCTTCAATCAAAATTTCAAGCTTTTGTGACTTAGAGAAAGAAGAGGTCCAAAGCTGCTAGAACTGCTCACTCTAATTTAGTTGGGTTGATTTCTCATATGGTCACTCAACTAATAGTTATTATCCCATAAAATCACCTTTCTTCTTGATTTCAATTTTTTCCATCAAAGAAAGTGACTGTATGAGAGAATAACTCTAGTTAAGTGACCATTTGAGAAATCAACTCCATTTAGTTGTCGGCTCTCTTTTGATGTTGTGAAGATGTTTATCGCAGGATGGACCTATAGAGACTCAGCTTATTAAGATGGAGGCTATCGGGAGTACTGAAAGCTCTCCTCCTGCAAAGATTATACTTGGTCAAGGAACTCTGATGATGAATAAGGCAGATCTATTGTTGGCAGGAATTAAAACCTGTCTCTCTCCGATGGATCACACCTGGATATAGCAGACTGAATGGTCTCTGCTCAATCAGTGTTATCAAAGGCGAAAAGCGCAAAAAAACTCTAAGGTCCGTGGGGGCTTTAAGCGCAAAGCGCAAATAAAGCGTGGGCTTTAATGAATAAAGGCGCAAAGGGAGAAAAAAATACAAATATATATGTTTAGTCCAAGACTAATAATTATAAACATGAATGACACATTTATGACCAAAGAAACTGAATTTTTTTTATGATAAAGTGAAATATCAATTGTTTAGTGTCACTTCTTCATAAGAGGGTCATTGGCAAGGAAAAGTTTGCCTTAGAACCTTGATGACGACACCGAAGCGCACATAAAGCGAGGCGAAGCGCTCAACATGTTTTGAGCCTCGCTTCAGGGCTTAAGCGCTTAAAGCGCGCCTTTGATAACACTGTGCTCAACTGCTTTAAATGTGCAGAAGGGAGAGAGCCAAGAGACACAACCTACCATTTTCAACTTTTTATTTATGAAGGTGCTGACATGGATCACATTTCATTGTTAAGATGTGATTTCCTTTTGTGGATGTATTATTTGTTAAAAATACTCGTAGGATAAATATGATGGTGATCAGGATTATGATGTCAATATATGATGGTGATCAGGATTATGATATCAATTTGCTCCTCAAGTGATGATCAGCGCAGGTTAGTTACTAAGCTTAATTAGAAATTTGCATCCAGTCTACCCATTACCTTGCTAAAACTCGTGTTTCAATTGTTCCTCGCACAAAAAAGGCCCAGCAAGTACTTGTTGTTTTTCTATCTTGTTTCGCTTTTGATAACATTTAGCTATAAAGTGATGAAGGTCTCAGGGTCTGAAAAAAAGAATCATTTGAGGGGGCTATTACTGAGACCTCCTTGCAAAATAGATTAGCTGAGGTATAATGGTCCAGGGAAAGTTATTTAATACATGATTCATCAGAGGGGCACTTGTCTGCCCTAGTCATTAAGAAGAGACAGATAAGTATTTAGTGGCTTTCATTAGTCAAGGAAGGCCGAAAATAGGTTTTCAAGTGTGTGATACTTGTCAAAAGTGCAAAGTAGAGGATGTGACATACCTAGGTTTCAACAAACCCTACCAATTCTAGAGAAAGCAAAGGAGTACGTAGTAATGGATATAATAAAGGTGCGGCCAAGTCAGAGGGTAACACCATCTTTGTGATTGTAGATTGTTATAGCATACAAGCTCATATTTTTTCATTGACACACTCTTCACTGTTTTCCAAGTTGCTAGAATATTCTCAGACACTAACCTGCATGGACTACTCACAACATTGTCCCTGCAGGCAAGATCGTTTCGAAAGGAACCTTTTTATTGAATGCAGGTCAAACAACAACGGAGCTTTTCTACCCTTCACAAATAGATGGATAACCCAAGGAATTCAACAGCTGCCTAGAGAACCATATGAGATACATGAATGTCCACAACTACGCTCAAGGAATAATTGGAAGCCATCTGCTTAGATTACAACCCAATAGGCAGACATCAGTGGCTATCAGAAGGACCATTAAGCTACCCAAAGTACTTTGGACCTTATCAAGCTACTACAGGCCCCAATTACTGGTGAAATCTAAAACACGTGTGATCTTCATGCATCACACAACTTCAAAAGGAGATGGTGATCGCATTGTTGCTATACTCAAGCTAATAGTCTGAGTTTTTTCTTTTTTCTTATAAGTGAGCTAACAGTGTGCACTTCTAATTGGCATATCCATAAGTGAAGTCCATAGACATACTCAATCAAGATTTGTCAACAAGGAATATGCTGCAACAATGCACGTCTGGTTACCAGAAAGCTACATTATGTGGCGAATCTAGGGATTCTAGAACATGGATGCACCACTAAAAAAAAAAAGGAAAAAATGTATTTAGTGGGAATTGATCTCTAGTCCTCTAAATAAATAACTCAACCTACAACCGAGTGAGCCATTTAGTCTTCTTGTAGCATGAGTGTCAGCATATAATATTATACTAATGTTAGAAAATATATACATAAATTACTTGGTTACGAGAGATCACGGGTTCACATGCCCCAAATTTTCCCTATAAATTTGCCCCGGACTACATTGGAAGATTCCAGTTTTTTCGTCCTCTATTTCCTGATTTCAAACCCTGAGGTCAAGGTATAACTGAATAAGGAGGGAAAGCAATGGAGCTATGAAGCGCTCCAAAAATAGTATGTATTCATTATGGAAGTTAGGAATGAAGACAAATTTCGAAACTTCCAGATTTTGTCATTACCCGATTTTTTTATAAAAAAAAGCTTGTATGCTATTACCTCGTCTTCATTTATCCCATGTAAGGAAAATGGGCCCCAAGAGCTTAAGAATTTGGTTTTACAATACCACACGAGATGTATAGTAGGCACTAGTCACGAGTTCCAACCTGGTTGGTGGACCAAGTCTAGTTTTCAAGTGGAGACAGGTAGAGAGGCAACCCCATTTTCACCGAGTTTTGAGATAGAATTCCATAAAAAAAAACAATTGGTTCTAAGAAGAATAGCCAGACTATGGTCTGTAGGTTCATACATTTGTCGATGTCCTACTGAGAACTTAGGGATAACAGCCCATTATCGTTGTTTATGGCAACCCCTATTTGAGTTCAAGGTCGATATTTTCGGGGTCATGTCTAGCCTTAATCAGAGATAAGGTCCTCGAGAATCCACATACCGCCAAGGTAGAGCATTCCTTCTTTTCAGACCTATCTATATTGATGCCACAACCACTAATTGTGATGTGAGTTAGTATTCAGCTATGTTTTTCAATTTTTATTTCTCTCTCTTATATTATCATTGATCTTAGTTAATGATTCTTTCATATATATATATATATATATATATATGGGCTAAACTTCACCGCATAAAAATCCAAAGAAACAATGCGTTTCCCCCTGAATAATTCGTCACTAATCAAAAAAATAAGTGAGGTGTAATATTAAATTGCAAGTGCATTCAAAACCACTAGTTTTTCTTTAATTGAAACCTTACGAACTTTATCATGAAAAATTATCATATGGGCAATACAAATTGAATACATATACCTAATCAATCTTCATAATTAACAAGACAATTACACAGAGTCCTCACTATTTTCACAGCTTCAATTTGACGCAACTGGCTATTCCAACAAAAAGGAAAACTTAAGTAGTCAACAAGATTAGCTTGGTAATATAAATTACCTTCGCTTAATCAGCTCCTGACCCTGGAGGCAACGCCCAATTACACCAATACTAAATGATTCGACGAAATACAGAGGAAAATTCAAGAAGAATAAGCCGTAAATATCAAAACAGCAAACCCTAGAATTGTGAATTTATACCCAATTTGACCTCCAAACCTTCAAGAATTGCAATTCTTGCGAACCTTTGAAGAAATTACAGGCAACCGCTGTGATCACAGGGGAAGCTGAAAGCTCGAAGCACCACTTCTTCAAACAGATAAGTTTTTTTTTCTTTTTCTTTTTCTTTTTTTGTTTTTCTCTCGCTATGGATTTCTTTTCTTTTTTTTGGTTTCTTTCTGTTAAGAGTGAGGGAAGTAAAGAAAACGGGTTTCTCGAAACGCTAACTTCTTTAAATAGGGAGAATTGTTGACTTTTATAACGACTTTGGGCGAAATCTCAACCGTGAAATATATGGCGGCTAATCCAACGGGTGATATTATTTTGTACTTCCGTACTAAAGATCTGGGTCATTAATTTATGATTTTTTTTGCAAATTAGAATTCTGAATCTATTAGGATCCTTGTCCCTTGAATATATAAATATAAATACTAATTAAATAATAAATAAAAAGTGTGTTGTTTGGTCTTTGGATCAGGAAAACAATTCTCTTTAAAGTTTTTTTAAAAAAAAAACTTGATCTGCTCAATAAGAATTCAGAATATTGGAAATAGGTTCGCGTTCTGCTTCTAAAATCGATCGTCTGTAGTTTATAGCCTCTATTTTTATTTTATTCCAAGAATAATTTTATAACATGAATCTAACTATAAATAGTATGAAATTATAAATAAATAAAGGAAAAATTTTATAAGTGATATTTAGCCCCGGTTGGCCGGTTCTAAGCCTTCAAAGCACCTGCCTAGCTCCAAATTTGAGATCTTTTTTTTTTTTTACCAATAATAGGACTATTAATTGTTTTCTTAAAGTGTTATGTTCAATTTGTTTCAATTTAGTTGTTTTATTTTTTATTTATTTTTTTAGTCTATTATTTATTTATTTTAAAAATTATCAACCTTTTGATTTCAACTTGTCACATGGTACGTGGTATATTCAAAACTATAAAATCTAAATAATGCATGTATTAGCTTTGTGTATTACTAGTACCTTGTTTGGTACTCTATTTCAACCTATGTATAACTAATGCAAGCATTAGTTATACACTCCATTGTGTATTAAGGTGTGCATTGCTAATACCATGGATTTCTAGGTATTAGCAATGCAATGGTTTTAATGCATGCATTAATATGATAAAACATTCAATTGCCCCTCAAAACCTTTTTTTACATCTTTTCCACCATAAAAGTGAAGGGTATCTTTGTAAATAATTTTTTAATGCAATACGTACTAGTTTTAATGCATCAAACCACACAATGCATTAAAATAATCTATGTATAATTAATGCAAGCATAACTAATATATGCATTGTTAATGCAAGCATTACTAATATATTCTATTTATCATTATTTTACACACTCTACCAAACGACTCCTAGTATTTATTTTCTTAAACTCCAAATTTTGTATTAACTCAAATTAATTACTTAGTTTTATAGTAGTGAATTTGTTTGTGCTTTGCGCCATTGTTTATATATTATTTTTTTAAAAGTAAGAATGTCAACTTACATATGTACAAAATTAAATTATATAAACTAAGTCAATATCTTATATCAATTTCTTTTAAGTTAGATACATAAAAATCTCAAAAGATATATATACAAATATTTGTTCTACAGATTACTCTCCCTATCTCATTACAATTAGAGAAAAGACATAAAGTCCTCATTGAAGTTGTCTCGGATTTTCAAAAAGACACCTTAACTTAACAACTGTCCTATTACCCCACTAAAGTTTTTAATATCTTTGTAAAAGGGTCATTTTGACCCATTTCCTCACCTGGGTTGTAAACACACACAACAGGTGCGTGAAGCAGTATATTCATTGCGAATAACCAATTTACAAGTGACACGTGTCACTTATTTTTTTTATTAATTAATTATTTTCTTCCTTTTCACAATCTTCCCCCAAAAGAAATCTCAAAAAAGAGCCATTGGTGCCTCTCTTGACGGATGATTCCATAATCAACTTTGGTACTCTCTTTTACGAATTCATCATCTTTCCCAAGCGCAATAAGGTAAGAGTTTGTTTTCTCTTTTAATTTTCGGAAGAAAAGGTTAATTTGAAGTTTTTCAAGGTTTAATATCTTCTTAGTTTCATTTAGTTTTGAGTAATGAAGATATTTTTGTGATTAGGTTTTGAAGAAAAATGTCAAATGCAGTGTTTGAAATTAAGAAAGCTAAGAAATCAGCACAATATTTGAAATCACCACAATCGTTTGGATTGGGAGACAAAGAGACTCTGGAAAGTTGAGAAATAACAAAAGATGAAGACTTTTATTTTTGAAATGAATCGGGTCGTAGCGTGGGCATCACGCGCGTTGTTCCAGGTGAGGAAATGGGTCAAAATGACCCTTTTACAAAGATATTAAAAACTTTAATGGGGTAATAGGACGGTTGCAAAGTTAAGGTATCTTTTTGAAAATTCGGGACAACTTCAATGGTGACATTATGTCTTTTCTCTTATAATTATCTCTTTAGCTAACTCTATTTCTACTTCTGCTACTGTAATGTCCTGATAAATATATATATAAGTATCCTTTTCTACCAAAAAATTATCACTTTAGAAGTTTAAGATTGAAGCTAATAACTATTTCAAACTATACCCTCAATATTAAAGAAGCATGCACAATATCTGAGAAAAAATGATTTATTTTATTTTATTAAATATAATAAATTATCACATAGTATGAAGCGTGAAATAACTTCACCGTTAAAATTGGACATATTGAGTAAAAATGAGCATAATTTTGTGTATCTCAGTATACACGGGCCTAGATTGTGAAAACCCAATAATACACATGGGCCAGAGCTGCCGCACACTGGCCCACCAAGACCAAGTAAATCACTTCGAGGCCCAATATATTGGTCTTCAGCTTTTTGAAGCGACTCCTTTCCACTTTCCTCCCCTCAGTAATTGGTTAGAAAACCTGTCAATTAAAATAGTATAACTTACGATAATAAGTAAAATCAAATTTGTTTTTCATATCAAATATAATCAACATCTAATAAAGTAACAAGTAAATGACTTCTCACGGAAATATTAATAATAATAGATAGACATTTAAATTTATGATTATGCATTTGTAATTAACATAAAAAATATGTATCGCGCATAGTGTGATGTCTTCAAATTAATCAGCATCATTCAAAACCTTTTCATTTATCATTTATATATTGGTTAGCTTAAGGTTAAAAATTAACTTAAATAGATACATGGATGTAGATTGTTACTGTGTTAATAGCAGTATAAAATGGTTAACCAATTCGGTTAAGGTTAAACTATTTTATTAGTTTATGATTATAAATTAAGCAGCTTTGTTTTGTTTTTTCACTTATTGAAGTGAAATTCCTTCATTTATCAAAGAAAATAAAGTTAAAATATTCAAATCTGAAATTGTAGTGTTGTCCAAGTTCAATTGACATTCTTTATATCATATAGATCTACCTCTTTATAATATTAGTACACTTAGGGTGTGTTTGGTATGAAGGAAAATTTTTCCAGGAAAACAAGTTGATTTTTGACTTATTTTCTCATGTTTGGTTGGTGATTAAAAAATATTTTTCGGAAAAGATTTTTAGTGTTTGATTTATGAATGAATTTTTTTTTTGAGAAATATCTTTTATTTTTACTAGAGTAGAAAATAAATTTTGAAATTGAAAATATTTTTTAAAAACAAACTTAAATATTTTTTTT